TATCATCGTATAGGTATCTTTCCGAAGCGACATCGCCGTCGCATCCGGCAACGGATGACAAAACGATATTATGTTATTGAAGAGGTCTGTATAGGCAGCCGGCAGTATACGAAGTAAAATGATTGAAACGTTTCGCAGCCGTGGCTACGGCCATCTATCAACTATACATATTGTATATTGATATGTTTTTTTTTTATTTTTTTTTCAATACATTCTCAGAGGTAATATAACAGAAGTAAAAGGTTAGAACGGTTTGGCCGTGTCCGCAAAAGACACAATATATATATATATATATATATATATACATATACACAGGAAGGACCGAGACGCGGAGGAACGCTGCGAGAGAGGGAGTTTCCCGTTTCCGCCAAAAACGTACCTTTCCCTTTTTCGTCGATACCCGTTTCCGCCAAATGTGAAAATTTAGTGAACTATTTGAATGTTAATGGACGATTGTATCATAAATTCGTATTATTGTATTACAAAACAAATTTCAAAATGTTCACAAAAAATATTAAAAATTGTTGTACATAGATAATAATAATAAATATTTTTTAAAACCATTTTTTAACTTCGCTCCACTCAGGATCTAAAATTTTTGTACATGGGCGAATACAATAAAAGCATAAATGTCATATTGTTCAAAAAGATAAAACAAGTTTTAAAATGTTCAAAAAAAAAAATATTAAAATTTATTAAATATGATTGAATTAAATTGAATTAAAAATATGAATTCGTATTTACAATAATAACAAGATAATTTTTTAACAAAGTCATATCTGAAAATTTAAGAGAATAAAAGTGAATACAAATATTGATATTAAATTAAATTAAAATTTTTTTTTTTTCTAATTAACAACTGTAATGCAAACAATTGACCAATAATATTCAAATATTAAATAAAATTTTTTTTTCATTTGGCGAAAAATGGAAAGGTACGAAAAGGTAGCGGAAAAGGAAATCGACCAATTTTTATGATTTGGCGGAAACGGGTATCGGCGGAAAATGGTCAAGTACGTTTTCGACGGAATTCGGCCATGCCCGCGTGAAAACGTTTAGATGGGATGCGATAGTTGAGTATTAGTCATAATGATGTTATTTCGAGTGTATAGATACTGATGGAATGAGATAGCCGTGCCGGCAACGACGGGACTTTGGGGCCCACTAAGCTGCCGAGAAGAAGACGAATATTATACGGTTTTTAACCTCATAGCATTACGAATGCGGTGCTGTCGATTCCCCCGGACAAACGAAACGGGCCGACGTTCGATAATTATTGTACCATTTCAATCGATTTCGCTATGTGACGGCAGTGGAGAACTGTTCTCTCGAAAGGTTCCCCTATTAGAAAAACCCATCCAAACTGCGGGGCGTGACCGCTCGTCTCACATTACGGAACCGAGGCTTATACACGTACGCGATAATTCTTTCCAGCTCGTATATCTCAGCGACGGATTTTCACGCGTCGCGGTTATTGTTGTAATACGCCCGACCGTCAGTCCTCGTCGGTATTATATCGTCGTCATCACAGGAAAGCTGTTCAGAAGTTCGAATTTCTCTCGTACAACAATATAAAAAAACGCGATCGGTATTCGAACTAAATCGAACCCGAATATCGGCGGCGATCGCGTAAAAGGCGGCCGATACGGTAGAAATGAGTCGGGACTTTTCTATACCGTGACTGTGCCGGTGATTCTTCGATACATACAACAGCACATACAACCAATCACAAAGCGTGAGGGCCGATGGGATTTCGATTATTTTAAGATTCAAAGGGCGCGGGAAAGATAAACATTGCACGCATTTTATACGAGACGGAACGTACGTACCGATTTCCGGTAGATTATCGAATCAGTCTGCAGGATAATAATATAAGCATAATATTGTATCATACGTTGTTGTTTCGCGTTTTTATATTCTGCGCGTGTGCTACGCCAGTTTGTTCTGGTCGAATGAACGCGTCACGCGGCGAAAGGGAAGAGTGTTGGGTAGCTCGTCGAAGAAGCGCGCGTATTGTTTACGAAAATATTTTATAACATACACATACATCTTATCTAGTTAAAGGTCGTTGAAGAGGCCGGTTTTTTTTTTCCATTTTCTCTGTTGTTTTCTAAATAAACGAGAAAAACCGAGAAAATTCGCCAGAAAAAAAAAAAAAAAAACAGGAATTTTACGTAATAACGGCTCCTGTTATTATCTACTTTGTTTTTTCATCGGCGATAATTCGGTCAAAAATAAACATAGAAACCTGAAATTATCGACGAACAATTGTGTTATATTTTTTTTTTGTACGCGGTCAAATTTCCAAAACATTCTATCGATTTTCAGTGTTCGAATGAAACTGTTGTAAAAACGCCACAGTCAAAAGCTCGGAAAGACGGATGTGAACTTAAATTGTGTACCGTTATAGACAAAGAACGAAAAATGATGACTATACAGTATAGTCATGATTATTAATATAATATATTTTGTGTTAAAGAATATTAATCATGTTGTCTCCACCTCGTCAAACGTTCACTAGTCCACCTCGCTTTTGCGGCGGTGACGTATTTTTAGTTTCCGAGGGTAATATAACGAAGGATGTATCGGTTTTACAAATTTCTGTTTTTTTTTTTTTTTGTCTGTCACCACTTTTTTACGGTTTCTAATGACTAATGATGGTAAACTTCAATTATTTCAAGACACTGGCGCTTGAATTGTGGACTTTTTTTTTTTCGCTTGTTGTCGATTCCCATGGTTTCCTTTGGGAGACATCCAGAAATTTAATTTATATCTGTACGCAACGAAAAACGATTCTGAACAAAGTATTACAAGTCATATTTTTGTGTTGCCTTGTTGCCAAGGTAATCCAGTAATTAACAAACATTTGACAAAAAACCCGCTAGTCCGTTCCGTTTGTTAAGTAATCTACAAAAAAAAAAAATCGAATGATGACCTCCCCGATATATCAACTTGATCAAAAATCCTACAACACCTGTACAACGTTTGATTGGAGCACGATTTCTGTAGACGATTGTTGTTGACAGAGGCAAATAAAAAAACCCGTTACAGTAAAACTATAAACTCGCTCAGAACTTAAAACTACTTTGATTAGTTAAATCGCGTTTTGTCGACCGCCTCTCGAAATTGTTTTTCTTCCGTAACCGTCTGTATCGTTGCGTACAGATTCGAACTCAATTATTCGATACAATATTCCGAGTTCTCCCTTCCGACTTCCCGTTTACGAAAGCGCCACAGTGGCACCACCATTGCCGGCAGTATATGCTCGTCGTATAATTAATTTTGTATTTTTCACGTCTTCCCCCGCGTCTCCGACATTTTCGCCGTGTCGAAACCTTATACTTTTGATGCGGGTACACCAGCTGTGCAATATGCCGGAGCGACGTCCGTCCACCGACAAAACGGCGCTTGCGTCAGCGGGGGGGGGGCGCATAACCGAATCGCGCAGTATTTCCGATGTGCCGTTAACACGGCCGAATCGAAAAAACAAAAGATGTCCATGTTACCGCTACCGCGTACAATATGCGCCCTCGTTATTGACGCCGCGTGGCGATTGTACAGCGACGACCGTTGTACGCGATAAAACGCGAAAGTTCGCTTGAAATCGATAAGTAGTGCCGGCGTTTAAAACGCGTTTAGTATATTTATTTATATGTTAGTCTGCGGGGTACGGAAGATAGAAAAAAAAAAATCGAAACACACGTGCGCGTGTTCGCAAAAGAAATTTGTCTGCATGAAAATGTCAAAACATTGAACGCGTGACCGGTGTACGCGGGGCAGGGAAAATTACTGTTATTATTATTAGAAAACATTTGTTTTTAAAAGCAATTTGTTTCCCGAAGAGGTTTTTCATACACTCGTTGACTTATATTTCAAAATGTTTCGAGTGTTTTCATCGGTATTATTATTGCTATATTTATATATATACATATACGATTTGTAGTGACCGTAAAAAAAAAAAAAATAACGAAGAGAATAATTATCATTACGCTCGTAATGTTATTATTATAACATAAATACTGAAATACCGGCGCTGCAGTAAAACTCGAAGCGTAGAAAAAAAAAAAAAAAACCTTTGAAAACATAATAGTTTTAGAGTTAATTTGAGTCGTTTGAGATTTTACAACAAATTATAATATATTGTACACGCGTTGCGTGCGTATGACTGAACGTCCACTGAACGTGTACGTGTATACGTACCTACATATTTTTCATTTCAGACCGGAATAAATTGTATTATTATGTTCGCGTAATACACGGATTTCGATAGTGTAATATTATGTTTTATCTATACGAACCGAGGTTATCATTCGGTTCTAATTTTTTTTTTATCTTATCGACCGTATTATTTTATCGGATTGTCTTTCAGAATATTATTTTCTTTATATTCATAAAAATCGTGTGCTCCGTGCATAACCATACCGATCGTTATTAAAACTATTACCGTACACGAAGCGAACAATTATAAACTGTAATTATTTTGATTTCCAACGGATTATAACGTACGGGAAATATCGACGTGGAAAAAATAACTACGTCGCTTTCGACATTTTTGTTTTTTTTTTTTTTGCGCAACGCACGGTGAACCTCGTGGTAAATTTTCCGGTATTTTCGTACGGCGGAAGAAAATCAATCCACAGAATAGACGCTAAATAAAAAAAAAAACCAAATTTACGTTCTCTAGTTTTTTTTTTTTTTTTTTTTTATCGGGACGAGATTTTCGGTAGAAAAATCACACTACACAGTATAAAACCGATATTGTACTTTCCGCGTTACGCTCAGAATCGCCAGGAATAAACCGAGATCGTCGTCACGATATTTTAATTGGTCATGACGCACGTCACAATAAATATTATAATAATTGTTGATTATGTTTGCGACGTTTTAACAGCGTGCACTTATCATAAGATAAGACCGAACAACTCGAGTTTATATAATTCAATTTGTGCATTTGGTTTTTTTTTCGGATCTGTTGTTATAACAGTAATGAACTTAATGACAAACGATTTCGCGTGTATAATTATTATCGATGTTTTTCGATTATTCATGCGGGTAGTGCTACATACAGGACGTCTCGCGAATGATACGATCTTATCGCAATATCTTGTCAAGTATTAGATTTTTTTTTCTCTTCGAAATTTAAGAAGCGAGTAGTTATAAAATTTTACATTTCCGTTATTTTCGAAAACTTAGTATTTGTTGAACTTTCAATATGGGTCGACATTTGAAAACCGAACTCGGATCGTCGGTTCACTCACCCAAAATTAACGGTTTTGTAACACATTAAACCTGTAGCCCGAACGGACAAACAATTTCTGAAAATGTCACTACTGTCCGGAATATCGCGACGATCACATTTTCGCGGAACACTCTGTACACAGGCAAAGTACAAATCGTTAAAAAAAGTACAAAAAGATCGTTATTCGATTTCGATATTATTATTCCGCATCTTGCCGCGACGCGCGCACAACGTCGTCGTCGTTGCGTTTATCTGTTGCGGCAGCGTTCGGGATTCACCAAATAAACCTCGGTAAACTGGCGATTTTAATTGGCCCGTGCGTGAATTATCGTGGAAAAAAAAATAAATATATTTATATATAAACATCGTTTTAATTAAATTATCGTAGTAGTTGCCAGCACAATAAATGCGTAGAACAACAACGGTCCGCTTGAATATAATTTGTGTATAATCGTTTAAAGTTTTCGCCGTTAACTGTGGACGCATACAGACAACAACCGTGACGTATCGCTCTGTCGCTCGGTGGTCCACGTCGGTTAAGCGCTGAAAAAAAACAAATTACAGATCGCCGGTACGTCCGGCCGCAATGGTGTGTGAAAAGACCGAGGGATATCGGATAACATTAACTCGCATAGATCGATAACTGCAATAGCTCGGTCGGACATTGGTTTTCCGCTGGAAATTGAAAAAGTCAAGTCATTTTCAACAATGCGAACGGATTTACAAAAAATTACGCGATTCCGTCTAAACTCGGACTTCAAACGCCTATTGCATAAGACGCCGAAATCGTGACATTTTACGCCAGACATTTTTTTTTTTTTTTTTCTGTTTAACCATCAGTCCTAGGGCGTCTGTAATGAACTATTTTCGCGACAACAATAACGACCCAACGAACCAAATAAACACGTGATAATCGTTTGATTCAAATCGATCGTTTTTGTCAAATTTTTCTCGAAAACAAACACTGTTGCCAACGTATCGTGTAATATCTTATTTAGTGAACATTAGTTATATTTGTATATAATCTAATGTCTAACGACATTAAAGCCGTCGGTCCGTCTGTAACGCATTGTTGATTCGTTGACATATCGCAGGGCAAAGTGGATTTTATGTTCGGTCGCCGCAGTAAGTCGACGTTAAGGACAGAGGGCTTTTTATAAGCACACGAGGTATCATTTTGCCGCTGGATTTGGACACTTTTAGCGGCTCCCTCTGGTCCGAATGAACTCAAAACCGGGAATTAAAGTTGTTTTATAGGCGTATTGTTTGTTGTGCTACGATTTCGGGTGGATTTCGATACGAATTTCGACGTGTGTCGTTGCGAGAGAACGGTTAGGTATATAATTATAAAAACAGATAATAAAATATATATTGTACGTCGTCCGTCCGTCCGTTTCGACGTCTTCGTGTGTATTTTTAGTCTGCGGAAAATAATACGGTGAGCACATACAGGGTGATCAATCTGTCGTACGTCGTATTCGTTATTACGGAAAGTGTTAAGTTTTTTCGGAATTTCTTTTACGGGCAATTTTAAGAAACAAACCCGTTAAATTTTGATTTCCGTCAATTTGTTTAACCAGATATTCGACCCCTTAAGTTTGAGTCGAGGGAGAGAGAGTGTAGCGTTTTAACAATGCACCACTATATACTGTGCCCCGACATAAACTCAAAAGAGGAATATCTCGTCAACGGATTGACGGAAATCAAAAATGTCGGGGCACCAAAATTTATTTTAACCAATTTTAGATGGCCGTCTGGAAATCAAAAGCACGTGCTTTTACCCGCCAACAACGAGAGCGACTAAAAATAACATAAACGTAAAATTGCGGAGCTGATTTTTTTTTTATTTTTTTTTTTTTTTTTGTCATTTGTGCTACGAAGCGAATTTCGTAAAAAGTTAATATTTTCCGAGATAATGATACGTCTCACGATAGATTGATCGATCGTCCTGTATACGCATACATTATGTAAATGGCCGAAGGCCGGCGAACAAACGCACAATCACGACGAACAATGTCACACGCGCGACTAAAAATATAACGCACGCCGGTCGCGTACACTACGCCCGCGATACGTACACGGGGACAGGCGGCGGTGTACCGGCCTGGAAACGAATAAAAATATAACGACAATCGAAAATTCGATCGACGATACCGATATTATTAGTCGTCTAGTGCGATTTCGAGTTGTTTGTTTTTTTTAATTTTTTTTTTTTTACGAATATATTATTTTGGGGCCGCGGCGCGCGCGTTTTAGGAGACCCTGTGCCCGACTGCAGACTTCCGTTCTCATGGACTGCGCGCACGCACACGCGCACACGACAACCGCGCACCCGAACGCACGTCGTCGTCGTCGTCGTCGTAATGTTTCATTGTATATAATAGTATATAATGTCGTTGTATGTATACGTGTACTCGTAGAACGTATAAGATCATAGACCGTAAAACCGAAAACAACCGTATAATTCCTTTGTGACGTGCGGGTCCAGAAGTTTATTAATGGCTAGACTGCAGTAGCGTATTCGAATCGAACGGACCGCGGAAAAACGCCACACCGTCATCCGAGACACCGCGAGCAGTTTCGTGTAGTGTCTGTTTTTTTTTTTTTTTTTCGTTTTTTGTTTTCTTAATACCGCATTGTCTATACGTTCGTTAGCGTGCGTCGATTACGATATGATTATGTAACGTTGTCGAAACAATCGACGACAGTCGGATAAGGGCCGAGCCCGACATACGGGGGCGAATCCAAAACGATTTTTTCGACGGATACCAGTGAAACGATAAAATTTACTAGCTGTCGTTCGGTGCGCCAATAACGCGCGCGTCCGTCTTGCGCACCGAGAATATAACGATAAGGACTCGTCCGGATCGCACAAATTATCGGCAAACCGACGACAAAAGATTGATGGTTTTCGTTCGTTTCTCCAGGACGATTTCGAAAAGTGGACTTGTCTCCTATTGTTGTCACGCCGAACCCTTAAATTCATAATAATACGACGTTGTCGTACCCGTGGGCAGGCGACTACAGCAATTAATCTCGTCCGTTGACGATGTTTAATTTCTTTCTTTTTTTTTTCAAATTTTTTTCATTGAAATGTTTCCGATTTTTAATGATAATTTTTTTTTTTTTTTTTAGGTAAGCTGAAGTATATAGGCAGATCGCGAATCGTTACTATAGAAAAATCAAACGGCCGATAATATTATGATGCCGGTGCGGTGAGTTTGAAACATTATAATGTTATCTCATTTCGACATGATGAGATTCCAGCGATTCGCTATTGTAATACGATAACCACTCGAGTATTTCGGCCACGAATCAATCGCTATTGACGTCCTACAGTTTGTTTTTATTTACCCGATAATATTGATCACGTGCACCTACTCAGTGCCTACTAGTTAACCAACCCGACGAGAACTCGACTTGCGGCTCCCCGGTCTAACCCCCAGGCCCGTGTATTTGTTACGACGCCCGTCGGTGTAAATTATCACGTATAGGCATATTGTTGTAATGTTTTGCGTACGGTTTTTGTCGCGTTATCTGGCGCGATTTTTCCGTAGTCTATATCAGATTTCTATTTTATTATGTTCAGTTTCCCCCACCCCCCATAAAACACTCCGTAATATCGTCGTCGTCGTCGTCGTCGTCGTCGATTGGATACGGTCGCGCAGCTCGTCGCGCGACCGTCTCCTCCACGACGGCTTATAAACACCGCAGCCGCACGGTGTGACAGACGAAAAAATAAAAGACGGAAAAAAAAAAGGTCATAAATAACAATAACAATATTAATAAATTACCATTCATTGTACGCGGTGTTGTACTCGTATTAATATTATTATTGTATATTATTGTGTACACACTGTACCGTGTCGCACCACCGCCACGGTCACGTATTCGTGCGGACGAGCAATGTCAAAACACACCGGGCGCACCGCGGCCGAAGTGACTGCTGCACCGGGGGGGGTCTATTTTTGTACTCCGTCGCATACGAGATCGGCAGCGCGGTTCGGGACGCCCGTTTTCGACCGGGATTTACGGTTTTTGGTGTCCTTCGGATCGACTGGCAGAAAAAAAAAAAAGTTATTTTTAAACTCGATCTCGACGACGGTTATCGACATTATGTTGTATAATCCGGGCTGTTCGCATTATTGTTTTCTATTCTATAGCGGAAATATTACGCGACGTTAGCGTATGCTCACTTTCCGTAACTATTTTATCATACTGAAATAATATCACTCGTGCCGTACGTCTCCATTAGTTTGTGCGGTTTAAACATAATTTACGGATTCCCGTTGTCGAATCGTAAAACGCAACGATCGCATTGCTCGTTCGGTATTTTAGACAGCCCGCCCGGGGATTGCATGCACCCGGTTCGCAGTATACGTGATTATTTGAACGTATTATTGTTCGGCTGTGCGGAGTTTCACGTGCCGTTGTCGACGAACGGTTAAACACTGTCTCAACCTATTGTACAATTTTGTTGATCCATTCCGAGCCATTTTTTCCGGAAACGTTTAAACAGATTCACATCTGGCCACCTACTTGGTCCACACAATTCCTTAAAAACGTCGGAGAGCATGCCTTTTATACGAAACTATAGATTTTTTAATTAAAGAGCATGCACCTGAATTCAACCACAAGACGTTGTGTCAAAGCAAAGTCCACGCACGTGGGCATTTAAATCCCGCTCTTCTAGAACATTTAAACAAGTATCGGCTCGTTCTTTGTCCGTGCCTTCGGAACTGCCAAAAGTTTTTGCCAAACCACCGTCAGTGATAAGCACAGCCACTCGATCTACTTTTTGCGCCCCTCCAACAATCGCAGTGCAAAACAAAAGGTTTCGGGAAAGATAATGTTGTTCATTTTATTTAACAAATCCTAGCGACCTCTAAATATGTTTAGAATAGAATAGTCTTTAGCATAAACATTTATTTTTAGTAAAGGAACGAAAATATGGCTGCGGAGATACGGATCCCCCGCGGTTTCAACTCGACCTTATTTCGTCGACCAGCGTACGACTTGCGAAACCCCTCGGTTAGGTTGGGTTAGGTCGGCGGAAAACGCTTTGGAAATCGCTGCTGTAGAACAACAACACGCACAGCGATCGGACGTACCGTCGTCGTAGAACGAGAAGCTCGGTTTTTTTTAAATTTTTTCTTTTCCGTGACAATAGCACGCGATACGTGTATTATTATACTAATGAACGATTTGTAAATCCGCGGTGTTTTATCGTCATCCCGGGATATTTATTGGATCGTAAGAACGTTCGGCTATCTCGAACGGTTGTCAATTAATCACGTTCCATCTTTTTCGGTCGACGCAGACACAGCACCAGCGCCGACCCGAAAACCCAACACGGTACGAACGATATGAAATTGTACGCGTACATAGATATTTATCGGAATTTAAGACTAGTGTGAAAAAAAAAAAAAAAAAAAAACCATACAGAAGAAGAAAAAACCAGGTTAATCGATTGGAATTCCGAATATCGAGCAGCACACGTGACGACGCGCGTTCGGGGTGGTTATCGAGAGTGTCTAACCCGAGTACGTACCGTCCGGGGTCGGGACCGGCAGAACAAAGAGATTTCGAAGAAGGACGCTGAAGAACGTAACTGCATAACACCGTAGCGCATATTCCAAGGAAGGAACGCGTGCAAGACTGCCTGTCGAGAGGTGTT